CACACACACTCACACACACACGGTCATTAACACTGAAGCAAGTCATCCAAACAGGACATGATCCTGGTGCTGCAGGGCAGGAATTCTGCAAGAGCAAAAACTCCGTCCTCTCTAACTAGAAGCAGCTGCCAACTGGGAAAAGTACCGCAAATGAAAATCATTATCAGCTGCAGGACAGGCCAGACACTGCTGCACTCTGGTTCAATGAAGCAGCCGTCCCTTTAAAACAAAAAGAAATCCCATGTGCGGTGCGTGGACGCACACATGCACATACCCTTATTGTAAACTGTCGCCAGTCTGTCTACCATCATCCCTCCATCTATCTATTTGTCTATACTTCTGTTTGACCTTGTTTTTCCTCTCAGTGATTATTACTCATTACACTGTCCGGTCTTAAGAACAATCCTTCCTCCCTGCCTTCCTTCCTCCTCCCTTCTCGCCTTGCTCCCCATTCCCATCTCTGCTTCACCCCCTTTCTCTCTTTTTCCTGCCTTTACACAAGTAATTACTCTTGAGCTGGAGACCTTTGATCAGGCAGAGCCCAATTCTTTTTAGAGCTACTGTTTTTACTGTGTGTGTGTTACTGTTTACTTCACCTTACAGATCCCCCCTCTTGCTGTAGCCTAATTTACAACTTCCCAAACCTATTTTTCTGGTCTTTTCATCTTAACAGTCCGTGCAGAGACATGCTTTGTGACCAGCAACAACAAAAAGCAAAACAACCCAACCTTACACTTGTCAGTACACCTTTACCTCCCTCTTCACATGGGATTGTGCATTTACCTCGTAGATGTGTGTTACTTGTGGTCCCACATCGTCCTCTTTGACAGGCTTCTCTTTGGGTTCCCAGCGTGGGAATGGCAGCACCACCTGAGAGGGATGAGACACCCTGAGGAGAGGAGAAACAGCTCAGTGACACTGATGCATGTACAGGTTTGGAGGTCAATATAAATATAATACTCACTGATCATACAAGTGTTGACTTTTGGTCACTGTGATCATTCACTTAAGTGTTTTTTTTCCTAGCTGAGGTTTACCAGAGGTTTACTATTTGGTTGTTCCATGTAAGCCTTGTGTAACAAGCTTAGACCTAACCAGCAGGTTGCTTCCCTCCGTGGCATGGCAATGGAAATTTTGTTCTGAAAGTACAATAACTTAGGAACAGGTCTATTTGATTTAGGTAACTGCAGCTTCATATTGGCATCAGCTGAACTATGGAATATGTTTTTGCATGAGGCTAGTAGAGGCTGTGGATTTTTACAGAGAGAAAGGGAAGAGGAATCACTGCAATAGACCAATAACTATATTAACGTACTGTAACTATGGGCAGTGAGTATATAAATATAAAAAATATATGAAGCGGGCAGAATATTAGAAACACCTTTGAATATAATGCCGTCCAGCACAACACCACCACTATGACCTTAATACTAAAACATAAATGGAACTAATACCTCTTGAAATTTCTAAAGTTAAAATACTAGATGGACACAGCTGAGGCAGGACAGTGTCACAGTACAAACGCAGGGACTTGTATGACGAAGTATGTCTTCGTCTCTGTCATCCCAAGTCCTCCTCTGTTTGTATGTACAACTGACCACACCCAAACAACGCCATGCAAGCATCCAAGCTTTGAAGTGTGTATGTTTTTGTGTGTGTATCAATGGGCATATGAGCATCCACGAACACGTAAAAGGCTCGCAAGTCTCCCATGTGCTCATGATTAGTTAAATATTTTTTCCAGATCGGTGTTTTCATGCTGTTTTCCATCTGTATATAAACAGCCTCCACAAATTTAAACATCTTGAAAGGGGCTGTAATATCCTGCAAACACCAACAAGTTTGGGCTGAAACCAGATCAACTGCGTCTTTGTGAAGCAGACACGGCAACAAAGAATTTTGTCACTGTTTCGCAGAAAGGACGCCGTGCTCTCACGTGCTAAGATGCTTGACTCACCCGCGTAGATCAAGTTGAGCTTTGGCAGCGATGGACAGATTCAAACTGACTGGGTTGCTTTCAGAGTTGTCTTTGTTGGAGCTGTGGAGACATTCACAGGGAGTTTAAGGACAAACTAAAGGCATAAAATAAAACACACACTGACTATGCTCTACATTTTGTATATATTTGCAAACTTTTGACATATGGCTGTAGTACAATATGAGTGAATGCAAAGGCTCAGGAAAGCTCATAATAAAGCTGCATTTTTATGTTCAGCTGACTCAAAGAAGAAGTTCTCTGGCAGCATTTAACTGTCTGTGTCTAGTGATGTGATGTATCAAAAGCAATACAGTGAAGCAAACAGTGAACATGTTGTGTAGGGCTTGTCTGCTCTCTGGTGTTCCTCTGGGCCATCTGTCTTCTTCTGTCTCTGCGGTTAGTTTCATCAAACCACAGACAGCGGGATCAGGACAGACACAGAACTTATTTACATGGATCAGAAGAAAGACAAACAGCTCTTTGTGTGCGTGTGTGCGTGTGTGTGTGTGTGTGTTGGGGAGAGGTTGGGGGTATGCGTGAGAGTTGGTGGGTGTGTCACCTGTGGATCTGTAGCTCAAAGCTGATCTTTGGTCCAGCATCATCCAGCCTTTGGACAGAAAACCTCAATCCAACAGACAGCTGGGAAAGAGTGAGGAGAAAAAAAAAAAGACAAAAAGAGACAGAATGTGTAAAAACATGACACGAGAAAGAGGAGGGCACTTAAAGAGAGAGGAAAGACAGCCAGAAATGAGATGCATCTGTACATCAAAGGCAACATCATGTTTAAAGTGTCCAGTAATAGACAGTAAAATCCCTGTTAACTACATCCTCTTCTGTTGTTACACTGGCAGAAGAGTAGGTCTGTGTGTGTTTGCGTGTGTGTTGACAACAGTAGAAATCTGAAATCAGAGAAAATCCAGACTACGAGCACACACTTAAAAGTTAGTTAAGGTTCTTGTCTCTCCCCAGTTTAAATCCCCTGTCCTCTAGGCTAACTCAAAACACGTGGAGGATTTAGTTCATCATCAACCGTATGACGTGTGTGTGTGTGTGTATGTGCTTGTCAGTGTGTATGTGTAACTTTACTGAACAACAGGTCAGACACATGGTCCAGAGAGGGAAATGACAGCATGCAGACTAGCACTTGAGGCAGGCCTGTGGGGGGGGGGGGGGG